GATTAATTCGTATTTTTGTCAAATTAGCAATTTTTTTGCGTGTCAAAGTGATACAAAAATCCAGCTGCACTTGGGCACGAGTGGAAATGCCTGCACGTGGGCATGTGCATACCCAGAAACATATGTCAGCTGAGCCCCAGTTTTCATAGGTAAACTTTCTACTTGGAAACTTGTTGTTTTCTTAAAAGACAAAAAACAAACACAAACACAAAATTAAGTCAACATTTTTAAAACGGCAATTGTAGATGTCCAAAACTGACAAAAATTCATTGTTGAAAATATATAAAATGTTTTTGTTTTTTTTTTTCTTAAACATTCGAAATTTTCTTTTAATTTGGTCATTTTGGTCATTGTTTCGAAATCGACAAGTTGGTAATCAATCACGGTTACCTATTATATACAGGATTGGTATATGGATAATTAAGGACCATAGTACATGTAGCGTAGTTGCTTGGTGTTTGCTGCTTCTATTGGGGGGGGGGGGGGGGGGAGGTCAAACTAAGCAAAGTTTCAAAACAATGACATAAAATGTTTGCCGCGGGTTAATTGCTAATTTACCCAACAATGGAAATAATGCGGGCTGCATTTTGTTTTTAGTCTACAATAAAACACAGCATAATGATTGGAAAAAAAAGAAAATAAGAACTGTGAAGCAAAGTGATTACCATTTAGAACCAGCCTCTCCTGTTCACCAACGTATGAATGTTGCCTGTCTTTGTGGATGGTTTTCTATACAACTCCTAAAACACTGTATTTTGACAGTAGAGAAAGAAAACAGATATTGAAAATCAAATGGGCATGGTCTCCCAATGATCAATATCAACAAAAGCTCAGAGGTATAACGAGTTTGTTAATCTCAATTTGCACAGGGTGAGCGTGTCACGTAGGGTTTCTTTACAGATAACTGCAACTGTTTCTGTAATACATGAAGGTTTTTTACAGATAATTTATAAGTCAGTGTTTTGATTTTGCACACACACACACACGCACACACACACCTGTAAAAGTCTTGCCTTTAGTCAGCAGTATATACCCATCATTACGTCACAGTTGTAGGAGTGACACACACGCACGCGCGCACACACACACACACACACACACACACACACACACACACCGGTATGGAGAGAGACTCAAATGTTGAACTAAATATGAAAAGATTTTGATTTATCTGGTTAACGATTTCTCCACTTCTGTGGAGCGTGCAGGTTCCTTATTGTTATTATATTGGACATGGGTTACGTAACCGTGCTTATTAACACAATATAACAATATTATCAAAGCATGGAAGACATCGATTGTAATTTGACTCCACATTTGGAGTCATCATGTTAAACTCGCAGGCACTTAATGTACTTCTATTTCAGAGTCATTGGCGGAGGAAAACACGTAATAAAAGATTAATGATACAGAAAAACACTGAGAATGACACTCTAATAATTCCTTCATTTGATTAAGAACACTTTATATAAAAGTATCCATATCGATGTTCTGTTGAGATTTCTGTTGTGATACGAACACAATGGCGTTCCGATCTCTTTAGAAAGGGATATGGCTTAATTCTATGGACATCTTAAACTCTGATGGCACTGTAATTGCTTATCGTGCCTGCTGGCGTGTGTTTTAGGGATTAGAACGTCCTCTTTATGTAAGTCAAACTTCCCTATCATGTGGACACGGAGAGACGATACACATAAGTAGCTGCACTTGGCAATAACACTCTAGAGATCCTAAACGGGAATCGTCTCTTGTTGTATAACAGCTGTATTCTGGTTGTTATCAAAATGCATCTAAACATGCTTTCCATTTTACAACTCATGCTTACGGTCGTTTGGATTGTAGTTGGGGCTAAAATGTCCACAAATATCTACAGATATGTCAGCCCTCCTAGTTGCCGGGAAAACGTAGCGAATACAAATGTCTTCGGACGCCAATATGTGTCGACAAAAAGTGCTTGCGCCATCGCATGCACGGCAAACACGCCCCGCTGTGTGGGATTCAACTACATTAAAACCGATTCAGGGGAAGATTCATGTGAATATGCTGGTGCCAAATCAGACGAGAATAGCACAAATTTGGTTCACAGAGATGGATATAAGTACTTTGAACAGGTAATGTGTCTCTTTTCGTTATTATTTTTTTATATAAACACGCATCAAACCCTTAAATATCCGTAATGTACACTGTACCACACACCTATTTATTTACGAACACACTCGTCCGCACACATCCATGCATGAAAAAAACGCCCCAACTGTTTCATCAAAATATCGACATCTTTAAGAGATGTTAATAAATGCATTGTCGTTAGTTCAAAAGCAGATATGATTTTATTATATTTTCATTAAAATTTATTGATTAAGTGTAAGAACGTAGTAAATTAAAAAAACAATCCCCACGGCCCTCAAAAGGTAATTAATAGTACACAAAATAACATTTATCGAATAAGTGGAATGAAATATGTATTAAATAAGTAGAAGTGTATTGTGTTCGATACATCTTATTATATATTGCGCCAAGATATTCTTTTTAAATAAACGCAAGCAGCACCAATAGTTGTTCTATATACAGCGGCGGATTCAGGATTTTTTGAAGGAGGGATCCACGGATACGAAATCGACCCCCCCCCCCTTGGCGTAGGGTCGGAGGACGGAAAAAAAAGTGGTCTTTTAGAAGGCGGACGGTGCCACTTGGTACGGTTTAGAACTATGATTCAGCTAGTGAAAATTTTAATTTTAAGAGGGGATCATTGGTGTCATTATTTTCAGAAATCGAGGGGGGGGGCAGGACCCCCCTGACACCCCCTAAATCCGCCACTGTGTATACCGTACCACTTTACCGGGTTCTTACGGGGGGGGGGGACTCCCTTTCACTGGCCCCTAGACACCCAAAAGTCAGCCATTTAGGTGGCAATCTTAAGTAATAGCCAAACATTTCTAGTTAGAGGATTTCAGATGCTGATATTTTCATTTCGTTTTACACTGAGTTTACGTTTGACTTCACCTGTGACGCTATAGAGCACGATAAGAGTCAAAGTGGTTCCCAAATTAACAGTATTAGTTGTGAGTACTCTTTGCCATTTCAAACATCCACTGTGGAGTTGACCCTGGTACTGTATGAATATATGTACATTCTTGATAAGCAAGGCCAAAGGAGGGGGGGCATAAAAAACAAAATGTATGATTAAGTAGAGCAATAGCGGCTATGTTTTTGACATAGAAGTAGAGAAAATGTAATGCCAACTTCAAATCTCGCAGGCCGAGCTTGTGACCCCGAGAGTTGGGCGAGAGTTGGGGAGTTTCACTTCCGGTTTCCATACCGCTGCATTCAACTCACGCTTTAACATGTTGTAAAACTACTGTACATAGCGACTAAAGCTAGTTTTTACGATTATGTGATTTGGCATGGCGTAAACGGGAGTCGGCACATTCTAACTGCAGTTTTGTTGGTGTGAAAACGGAATCATTAAAAACCAAATCGCTTTTTTTGGTGCGTGTGACGGAGTGTATACCGAAGATAACACCGAAGATAATTTCGCAATGTAAGTAATAACTTTTGTATTTTAATACAATATTGTGTTCTTTAGGCGTAAATTTTAGGAGTGAGAGACTCATTCATGATATGATCTGTCCTTGAATACAATGGTCGTCTGACGCCGATTGTTTTTCCGTTAATCCCTCGATCCGTGTCCACGTACGGTCTTCGAGAAATCTGTAAACTAAATGTCGTTATCCAAGCTGTTAATAAAAACACAGAATATTCATACATATAAATATTACATATTTAGTTATCCCCTTTTCATTTTATGCATATGTACAAGCAAAATACGAACATGTTTAATAGAAAAAACGGAAAGATTCAAGTCATACTTGGAGTTGGGTCATGCCTCCAGAGAATCATTGCAACAATAAACTAGATCAGTTATAGCTGGTTATTACTCCTGGAGATATAGCTTCAACATATGATTCAGATATACCTGACTATGTGACGTCGGTCTAATAATGACAATTTATTATAAATGTAAATTTTTATTCTGTTCTTTTCAAGGGTGTCAGGAAGGAGTTCTGTTGTGTTGTTTTATGCAGTGCCTCACAGAAGTGCAAGGGTGTTTCTTTTCACAGCTTGCCTAAGGTAAAAATTAAAAATTGAAGCAACACAAAATAATGATCAAGCAAACCATTTTATTATTACCTCACTTCCACCTTTCCCCAAGTGAATAACTATCTTCTTTCACAATAATTATAAATAAAACGACAATTCATGATATCTCATAATGTTCAATATTTTACACCTTCATATGCCTATATGCTAGCTTTTTGATTCCACAAAGAAACTCCCATTTCCAAGGCAAGTACAAGAATTAAGATGGTACATGTATCTTTTCATATTCACAGGGGTGTCTAAGGTTTCAGACAAATGGAGAAGTCAGCTGATCCACTGCATCAACAGATGTGACGGCTACTTCAATCCAGAGAAAGTCAAGATCTGTTCCAGGTATTTTGAAGCACTGTTTCATTAAATGTATGTGTACATTCAGGCTGTATAATTGAGGGCTGAATATTATCTCATGAAAGTTTATTGAAGCTGATTGAATTGAATTAACATCCCTTTCACCCCATTTACATATTACAACTTCAATTCAACATTGCTGTTTGCTGAACAAATGAGGACTTATGTCTCTGTTTCATAGCTTTATTTTTTACATCAGACATTTAGCAGTGCACACATGTATGGTGAAACTGATTGCAGTTACATACACACTGAGACTATCCTTACTTTAAAATAGAAACTAAGGATTAAAGAAATGTGTACAAAAACGGCTGAATTTGTACATTTAGCATGATATGTAGAACTAAAATGGCAATCTGGAATAACAGAATTAGAGCAACATGCATTGGAAAAAAATGTATCTGTATTGGAAAGGTGTCCCTAATATTGTTCCATTTCCACTAACATAGACTTTGCAACCTGTTGTGTCTGCTTCTGGCTGTGTACTGTTATCTCTGGGTTGACTCTGTTCTTTATGCTTATCACTTCCTTTACATATATGTTTCAGTTTGCTGACTACAAAAACCACCATGCACTATTTGGGCTGATGACATGTGCATCCAGGACTTTACTGAAGATATCAAGTGTCAACCACACTGAGTTAGTGATCTTCTGTGACTGCTATAATGGCTGTCATTCTGGTTGTAGCAGTGAAGAAAGCTGACTGGGATGCCTCTCTGTTCAGCCTGGAGACCTTGGGACTTCTTTACCAAACAGGGAGATATGCATTGTCCCAAAAGTTTGCAGATATCTGAAACTAAATTAGAACTGTGTGTTACATGTGGATTTATTTGGGAGTTTTGTGTTAGTCATGCACATTTTTAAAGTACTAATGGCAGAGTACAACTAATTCTGTCTGACTCCAGCTTTTGATGTATCCAAGAATATTGCTGTTTGAGAAATCAGTATCAATACTACGTCTTTATTTTTAACTATGACTATGTGAAACATTGGTTTTTAAATATTATAGAATAACCCATGGCATAACATGAACAAGAGCTGTTAATAAATCGAGTATGTAGGCAAGGAAAAGTTACCATCATTATAAACAAGTTGAAATACTATTGTGATAAAGTTCAACCCCATCTTGCATTTATACGTTTTAATAAAATTATTGCACCAATAGTATTCTATGGGTCACATGTATGAGGCTTCAAACTGTGTGAACCGGTGCTGATATTATTTTGAAGGAAAATTTAAGGTGTAAAATCAAGCACTTCCAAATAAGCTAACTTAGGTGATTGCATCAAATAACCCATGGTTTGCAGCTAGGAGTAAAAAAAAATAATAATAATTAAATAAATAAAAAAAACTGAAAAATAATAAAATAAAAAAATATGGAATAAACTGAGGAAAATATAACAAACTATTAAATGCTCTTGAAGTTAGATGAGGTATGATCATTATGATGTATTACATTGAAAACAAGCAAAAACATTTTTATATAGTTTTGGAAGTGTGTGGTATAATTAAGGCACAGGAAATGGATTCCTTGAACATTAGACTGAAAGATACCATGTTCAAAAGTGTATTAAATAATTGCAAAATACCTCTAAACTGAAATTATTGCATTTTCTAACTGTTTCAGCAGAAGATGCTTTACGTATTTGTATCTGATTTCTCTAAATTTCACCGTTCTAATCATATACTGATGATTGATAAAGGTACACACGAAAATATTTCATACAAATATAAAACTATTTTATATGCAGATCAAGAGTAATCATTTGCTATTGTTATTATGTATGCAGTTACAGCTGTTATTGCTACTATAACTGATACATAATTGGTACTTTGTAATTTTGATAAAAGCCTTGAAATACTGAAATATATATTCTTTAACAATGTACCTTTTGAAGTGTCCTTTTGCATATTTATAGCTGCTGTATGTCAACAAAATGCTGGATGCAGCTTTTCCAGGGATTGCTCCACTAATTGTGAGATTTCAGTCACCTGAAGTAGTAAATTTACAAAAGCACTGTCAACAAATTATTTTTGTATTTGTATCATGTTTCTTTATTAATGTAAATGCATAATATTAATGAAAAGGAATGTACTGTACCAATTTCCATGTAACTATACAATGTTTAAGCCATATAAAAATGTTCTCAAACAAAAAAAAAAATGTTAAGAAAGATGATTATTTTTATTTATTGCAACATACCAGGGTGACTGGTGACTGGTTGTGTGGTGCTCTGTACGGCGAGTTGCAGCATACTGAATCTCTCTTCAAAATCATTCTGTAAACAGAAAATTTACTTAAAATTTTGGAAAAAATAACTTACAACAAATCCTAAATTTTAATGACAATGAATGCGAGTAGGATTTAACTTAATGAGGTGATTTAATATCGGTAGAAAAAATTATTGGGTCGCCTTTTCCTTGGCAGGAAAATTGCTGGCAGGCTTGTATTAGTTGTAAACAAAAGCATTAAAATAAATATCAAATTCCCTAGTTAAGGGACAGAATTCTATTCTAGCTTTTTTTCAAGTATGATGTGCAGTCAAACTACAGTTCACGGCTGGTTGTAGACTATTCGGACTAATATCCCCTTGCTGTGGTACTAAAATATCATAACTTGATCACGACAGGGAAAGTAAAACTCTGCCGGCTGTCCACGTGCTTTGTGTGAGATCGCTCGATTATCGTCGATTTTATCCACATGCTGCAATCCAGCTTCGTTTAATCAAGCTAAGAGACAGACTTACCTCCAATAATGTCAACTTCGAGGCCATTATTAATCAAATTGAACCAAAAATCTGTCAAAATGACGCTCAATTGTCTTAGCACGCCTGCTCCCCATTCACATGTAGTGCAACGAAAGTTGACCGAAAGTAAAACTACCCAACTCTCGCCCAACTCTCGTGGTCACAAGCTCATAACACAGAGGGCAATACAAATCTCGCGGGAGTTGGCATTCCATTTTCTCTACTTCTATGGTTTTTGACATTTTGCTGATAGTCCCAAGGAGCAGATAGCTTTTTTATCATGGAAGGGCTGCATGACACGTATGACGCCATGCCGGGTAATGACTCAATTCAGTTTTGTTCTGTTGCGTAGTTGGTAAAGGATAGAGATCAATGACCATCCCCGCCTAAGTATCATTTTAAAGACTTTACAGCAAAGAGCAAAGAAATATTATTGACGACGCAGACTTTATGATAATGCCGAGCAAGAATGTGTTGTTAAAATCGATCAATAATTCTAAACTATAACGGATTTTTATGCAAAAGGTAATTTGCTCGGACACACGAATGCTTGCATTCGTTTTCGATTGCGGGGCCAGCTCGTCGTTTTGGTGAACTGGTGTGCGTCACCTGGAACTTGAGCTCGTCACTTGCCGTCACCATGGTTTGCTGATGGCGTGGTACTTGATTTACATTCTTTTACAACCAAGTACGATACCGACTGTGCCGTGACTGACCCGACCACACGAGTTTCCTCTTATAGTAATCAAACGCAAATTTTAGAAATTAAATTGGACATTGCAAATCTTAGGACTCTAACCCGAGTCTAGCTGTCTTTTGCTGTGTATAAGACTGCGGAGTTACCACGGAGCCACAGAAGCTTCGTTGGACAACATCACAGCTACTAATTGATGATAATGATGTGAATAGCAATTAATTTTATAGCATAAAATGTAGTAACACGTGTAATTGAGCATAATACATATGGAAACATATATAAATGTATATCCTTATATATAATGTGTAAATAATGTAGACTAGAGAGCATGCAAATGTATTCATACCATTAAGTGCTCAACACATTTTTTTTATTATTAATTAATAAATGGCATTTTTTTACTCTTTCACAGAGAAGGTGAGTTGGGCTGTACATGCACATATATAAATGTGTCATAACAATCAATAGGCCGTGAGCTGTACATATGTATTTCATCCCACGCATCGATAGGCTGTAACCATGGTGGGCCTATTATCATCAGCGTTGTTTAAGTTCATCATGTACACGCGCACGTATTTGAGAAGCGGATATGGAGCGTTCCTAGATAGATTACTTTTTTACTATGACTATTAGTGTGACATTTTCAGAAACCGGTGTCAGGACCCCATGACCGCCCCCCTCTAAATCCGCCACTGTATGTATATATTCAATACGCAATAGTATACCCCCATGGGGGTGCCACCCCTACCGCATTTGTGCACATTACTGACAGGGTACCTGTAGATTTATTTTTACCATTACATAAGAACTCAGCAACTGATTATTTCGTAAATTGGGGAAGCTTTTAGAAGGAGATTTTCCTATGTAACGTGACCATTGACATTCCCATACACTTGATATAGTTTTAAAGCGGTGAGATCTAGATAAATACAGTTTTGACCATAAAGTAGACATAACGGGAGTTTCAACACACACAATAACCAGAAAGAATGTTTGTTACATTTAAACCACGGCTAGCGCGTAGAACAAAAGACTTGGCCGTGCTGTATTCGACATGCAAGCACATCATGTACGAGTGCGCTCCACGGTGTTACACTCCCGTTACTCACTAGTGTAGTAGCCAATCAGAGGCCGTGGTTTAAACCCGTTACAACACTCGTCGCCGAGCTGTACGTGAAATATTACTCTTGTATTGTCTCGCATGAGCAAGGTTGCCTGGGGAACGCAGGTTGAGGGAAACTACGTCTAAGAAAGAGAGAATGCAACGCGCTTTCCTAGTAGAAGACATTCTGCTGAGAATACTTTTGGGACCATGACCACCCAATTTTGTAACTGCATGATAATGCTACTTCACGTACAGCCAATGCAACATTAGGCTGTTTATTTGTTAACCAGATCCCGCCCCCCCCCCCCCCCCCCCCCCCCCCCCACAACGGCCAGTGCAATCCATACACCAAAACTGCTTTGATAATTTGGGATATACTCCGAAATACATGGAGAAGATAATTAAGGGTTAACCCTGCAAACAATGACCTCACTCTTTGCACTTTGTGAACATTGGACACCAGGCACACACTCCTTAGGTACGTCCTTCTGTCCTGTGCAAAATACTAAAATGCAACTTTGATTTAATTTTTATCTGCTTTGCTAAATGATTAATTTTGAAAAAAAATACTAGAAGACAAAAACATCGATAACCTGACATTTCATTAGGGTGACATGTATTTCGTATGTGTCATGGCTATTACACAAGTCCTACACTGTGTTAATACGTGAAAAACTTTGATATCATCACAGAAAAAACATCAGATGATATTTTACATTTAAAGTATCAGGATATGTTAAGTTTGGCAGATCTGAAAACCACCAATGATAAGACTGATAAGCGTAAACATATCTCACAGACAGAAAGCGGAATATGTCAGCCTTAACGCATTTTTCAGAAAATGTGAAACGATATTTTTGGTATTTCCATTAAGATATGCTAAATGATGGTATTTGGTCCGGTTTTTGCAGACATTTGACATGCCAACTCGCTCAAATGCATCTTTAAATGTTAGTATCTCTACAATTTTGATATACAGTGCGACAGTACTGGCATCAGTTTCTGTATTTTAATACTTTAATATTAAAATATAGGCTGGAAAACAGACATACACGTTACATAACACATAGCATAATTCAAGTTACATCGGTGGTGTATCGATCATGACTTCCGGTAATTTATGCCTGGCTGGGCAAACACACGTCTGGTACTTAGGACTCTTAGAACTGTCACAGTCCCAAAAATCGAAACAGTGAGTGAGTTACGGTTCTATTATTAAATAATTCCTTTTGTGATGCCTTGCTGTGAGAAAATACATCAACGAGTCGGTTGCCGTACCATCACAGAGGCGTGCGGAAGGAGAATCTTTATTCATAGTGTTGGACCAACATGGTGTATATACGTGTACACGTGCTTGTCTGGTTTGTATAGACAGCATCACTTTAACAAAAGGGGTCTCGAATAAACAAAAAAAATTATTCAGCGTATAGGGGTCTATATACTCCACAAAAACCACAAAAAAATGTGATTTTAAAGGGCTTTGGTTGCAATTGCTTGCTGTGTGCATTACAGTAAAGATCTACTCGTATGGGCTCCTCTCATCTAAAAAAAGGCAGTCTTTTAAGGAGATAAGAAACCCTACTGAATATACATGTGATCACTAAAAAAAGCTATCCTAGCAACGTTGGTGTTTTTAGATTTATAGTCATATATACGTTCTGAAAAATTGTATAACCTGCCACCAAACAGGATGCAAAAGGTATTCGTCATCACACATATCGTATCGATTATTTTGTTGGTGCCCGCTGCCTTTATAAACTCCCCGCTTCTTGTTTTCGTCTCGGCTGGTTCTATTAGCATCTGAACTCCTTTACACATATACAAAATAACTAAGATTTAAAAAATTAACAATAAGATGTTCTCTTTCATTCATATAACCCAAAACTTTAGACTGCTTTTTTGTATTTATAACATCTACAGCGGCTGTGTACTCATTTTTTTCAGCTGGAGATGTCTGAGCAGCAAGTCACCTGTTCTCGAACTCGTAAGTAACATGCACATGTGAATGCCACGGTGTGGTCATATACAGACTTGACATTTAATATGGAATATTTCAGTTTTGAAGGTATACCTAGGTAAAAATGCGTTCTTTTAAAAAGAAATTAAGATTTCATATAAGACATCTGACTGGAGAAGTGTAAAGTCAGGTGTGTCGCTGCCAATTAACTGACTACCAAGTCTGTTGCACTGCTGCCTTGTGTAATATGCAGTAATTTAATTGGTCAGTGTTCCTTTGGGCTAGTCAAAGCTTGGCTTTGGCGAAGGATGGTTCTATCAAAAAAGTATCCATATGTCGGCAAATACTGCATAGAAGAATTTGAAATTTTGCATGCCATCAGTCGGTTTTGCAGTGCGTAAAGTGAGTTAAGCAGCGTTTTACAAAACTGTTAAGCTGTGCCAGAATGGCGCGAAAAACAAAGACATTGCCAGACAGATTAGTGTGTCAAACGGAACGGTCTACACAGTTTTATAGAGTTATGTTCAATTTGAGGCACTACACAGAGACCAAGCCCAATGCATCGACGTCTTACCACCAGCGTATAGGACTCACTGTCCTTCAGGATATGCTGCTGCAATTAAACCAAAACCACCCAGTCCGTTTTGAATGAGGAACAAATTGTCACCAAAACTTGTTTTTCAAGGCTCTTAGCGAACACCAAACTGATTTCAGCAGGTTAGGATTCCAGGCGACCTCTGAGGAAGACACTGTAAACAGCAAAGCAGCCTGGTCTGTTTCTCTAATGAATTGGGGACCATGACAGTTTCTGGGTAAAACACTGAAACCGCGTGACTTTCTTTATTGAGGTCAGATTTCACCTGTACCGCTAAACTGGTCAAAACAGAGTTTACAGACATTCTGAAGAGGCCTTCGACGAAACGTGTGCCACTTCTTAAGTGACTAGGGTCATTGACAGTGTCAGTATTTGGAGTGGATACCACATTGGTGCCAAAACACCAATGGTAGTCATCGATGAAAACCTGAACCAGATCAAATAAAGGAATAATCTGGGAACCACTTGACTATTATTTGATAGGGGGCACCTTAGGAACAATTTTAGGTTCCAGGGTGAGGTTGCCGGTTCACACAGAGCACATTAAATAGCAGATAACTTACAGAACCAAGGGAATGAGTAGCTACCTTGGTCATCAAAGTCGCCATATTTGAACCACATAGACAATATGTGGGTAGGTTATTACTCGCCGAATCAACGGCCTGCATGTCCTACATCAAAATTGAGCCAGATTGCACAAGTTTTAACCGTATTCTGGAATTTTATTCCAGATTAAACTCTAAAAAGCCTATCATAAGAAATGCCTTGCGGCTTGAAAGCTCTGGTAGCAGCAAGATGAGGTCAAGCGTAACAGCGACTGTTGCTGTGACTAGACACTGACATGGGGGGCCTGTGTGGGGCGTGTATCTCTTT